TATAATGTCTTATTTCTGACAACCTATAAGATTAGTAATAATAATAACAATATATATCTATAAAATTAATGATATTCTGCATTTACGATTGAAAATAATGATATCAGGTAAAACGCCAGAAGAAATCAGAAGAACGTTCAATATCAAAAACGACTTTACTCCAGAAGAAGAGGCTCAAGTAATAGCGAATTTCAGTTCTTGTTGTTAATCACATCATCTGAGGAATTTTACACTTCTTTTGTAGTCAATTATGTATAAACAGATTAAATAGATGCATTTGTCTTTGCATTGCAATTTTTCTAAGTTATTATGCATAATTTACTACAATCAACAGGTCAGGAAAGAAAACGAATGGTGCGAAGAAAAATAAATTAATTTCTGCAGCCTACTGAGTGAAAGACCACCATTACTAACCTTTATGCACAGTTCCCTTGTATGTAAGATTCTTACAAGAAATTGGGAGTCATTGATATAAAGGTCATATATTTAAATAGTAGTAAATTATATCATATCGTTACCAGGACATACATGAATGACTGTTACCAATGTTTTCGAGGAACAATAATTGTTTTTACTGAGCTTTAGATACTATTCCAAATACCAATAATTGTAATTTACTATCAGAAGATTCATCTTTTATTCACCTTAATATTATCTTATACAGTGTGCCATGCGAATGAATAGTCACACGGGTAGATAGATACTTTTATGTATCGAATGTATTGAAATGTTCGTTGAAGGACAATTTTCCTTTTGCATGGTTTAAAGAACGTTCTTGTCGTTGTTAGTAAACGTACCAAATCATTGCTGAATACATGCTAGTTACTAGCTCTAATCCGTTATGTTAATACTCAATGTTTGTAGACAATTGGTAGTAGATGTAATCCTGCAGTATCTTAGATAGCGTGCCGTCACTATAGAACTAATATGGTCGTCAGAGTAATTAGGTAAATGATATTGTATAATGGATACAGCAATGTATCATCAATTGCATACGTAGTACCTTCCGTCATTGAATTTCAAAATTGTTAGCCTGCAAATTACTTATTTAGCAACACCATAAATTTGGACTGTTTATTCAAGTAAAAGCATATCCAAATACAAGTATTCAAGCACAAAGCCTGTCTGATTCATAAGAACCTTTACTGAACTATGTTGAAGTTGATTTGCTACTGTATAAAAACTCTAGCACGGTGCACAGATACTATCAAATATTACAGTAAAAGCGAGGTTATACAAGTACTGTATAATCAACAAAAAATGAGTTAATACTGATTTTTTCACTGCATGCTGCTGTACAGTGTACAGTACTGTACTGTACTGTATGAGTACACAGGATTAGTACTGAATAGTGCTTTGCTTTACAGTGTACAGTACTTTTTGTCGACAGTACGTACTGTACACTGTACAGTACAGTACAGTACAGTACAGTACACAGGATTAGTACTGGATACTGTAGAGCAGTACTTTACAGTGTACAGTGTACAGTGTACAGTACTTTACATCGCCTTGTGATGTTAACAGCCTCTTTCTCTTCAGTCCTTTCATGGAGTTCACTATAGTATGACTAGTGTTGTCTACAGTATGAGTAGTAGACTACCGCACAGTATTGTACTGAAAATACATTTGGAGCAAAAGCGCAGCTGCAAGCAGTCCTGGAAACGTCGCAAATTTCAAGCCCATGGATGATATGGATCGACTGGAGGAGAACCCCAATGCCTTTCTCAGATCTAAACATATCAATTATTTTAAAAGGACCTTGAATGTACTACCACCAGAGTGCGAAAAGTTGGATCCTACCCGGTATAGAACTAGCGTACAATAGATTCCATCAACGCCGTTGTTGTTTCTAAACTCGATCCCATCATGTCCATGGATCATAAATACCAGTATAGACAGTAATGAAAATGAATGAATTCATTATAATACTGTACAATCGTGATTCTTGCCCATAGGAATACAACTGTTATACAAATGGTACTTACCAGAGTGATTTGACAGACGATATGACTGTATACACGATAAATGCTTATTAGAAGATGCAATATAGATGTTGTTATAACTACTGCCAATGTA